TGTGATGGTAACCAGTGGCCTGGGCATTGATGCAAATTGAGCAATCCGATCTGTAAGGTTGATGATCATCGGCTAGGTGTTGCTTCCATTCCTGCCGTTGTTGCTTGGTCATCTTTGAAACCTTCAACCCCATTGACTCCAAGTCCTCATCTGAAAACGTAGAGCACTCATGAAGATCTGTGATCGCTTCCAAAACCATAGTCTTGAAGCCCAAAGGCCAGGATCTCATTTCTTTCTTGTCCAGGAGAGACGGAGGAACACATCTTTCATTGAAGTCGTAGACGCCATCGAGCTGTGCAAGGGATGGATAGTTTGTGCCCATCGTTGTAGGACACTTCGCCCGGTGACCGTAGGCGCCCATGTAGAAGGAGGCCTTACTCATTCCCGCTATTGACTTGAAGGACTTCCATGTTTCCGTGGTCCAAAAAGTAGCGTATTGAGGATCACATTCACGGTGTCTCTCTTCATCTGCGGGCATAGTCAAGAGAAAACCAACAACACCACGGTTGCTCATTGTTGCAAGGATCCATAACAGCATCGGCTTCACAATTGCCGCCGTCTCGAGATCCAGCTGTTGTTGTTGATGCTCTGGTAGTTGAGGAAGTCCAAAAGGATGATCGTGAGACCGCTTTGGATAGGATTCTTCACCCCGTCGTGGCATTGCCGAAGTCGGCCAAGTCTGGTGAGGAGGGTTGCATACGATGTCGGTTATCCTTCCAGTAACAGCGGCCCACAGCAGGAGTCGGTAAACCCCCATTGGTGCATGGATGTCCCACAACCTTGAGTTCATCACATCCACGTTGAGCATCACTTTGCCAGCTTTCGAAACTACATCCAAGGGATTGAAAGTATCAACATCCTTGCCCGGGTACATGTTTACCACCCAACGATTGGATGCCATCAAAAGTTTCCTCTTTCTCCTAGTGAGTGGGAGGCCCTTCATGTACATCAAGCCATTTTGCAACTCGAAGCCCTCAGTAAGTAGAGAGTGGATCTCAAACGGGAGGTTCCGTGTGAACGGGCAAATCTGGACGGCCCTCAAAAGCTCAGACTTTTCCCCATTGAGAGAGTAATCCTTGAGGATCTGGACCCAGTCTCTCTTTTCCTCGCTCCTCAGCATCTCAAGCCTCGCCGTCAAGGTGTCGACGTTGTCCTTCAAAGCGGTAAGCTGCTTCTCCTCTATTTCTCGAATAAGTCTTCGGGCATCACGTGACGACACTTCAGGACATCGATTGGCAACATTCACTCTGACTGTTCCACGCGTCGGATGATGAAGCCGTAGGTGTCCTGGGCGCCAAGTTAGGGTATAGCCGAGGTCCTCGATGACAGCTCCGAGTGGCACGATAGGTTGCACATGCCCCGGCGTTTGTTCCGGCACCAGCACTGTACCGCATTGGTTCTGTCTCAAAACCTTAGTGTCTTCTCCTGCGAGGGTAACTCGAACCGGGGAGCCACTCTGGTACTCCTCCTGGGAAGCCGGGATCAAAGCATGGCTCGCTCCACTATCTAGAAGTCCCCGTAGACTTGGACCCCGGTCCTCCTCCACAACCTTCTTCATTGGCTCCGGAAAGATAACGGTTTTGTCTTCATGAATCATCAACATCTTTGCCGTGGTGGTAGAGGTCATTGCTTTCAACATTTTGCCCACATCGGCCAAAACCTCTTTCAAATCCGGCACTGCTTCTCCATTCCCGCTTGTAGTAGATGACGAGGTCCTTGCTGGAATAGGTTCAACATGGGGAACTTCGTCAATCCTTACGTTCTTGTTCGAAGTAGAGCTCGTAAACGGCTGTGGAGGTGGAGCTTTGTTTGTTGGAGGCCGTGTGGGTGTCGAAGTAGTAGGCGAATCTCCAGCCGGGGGCTTCTTGTACGGACAGTCCTTCACCGCATGGTTCTTACCGCCACATCCAAGACAGCGCCCATTTTTGTCCAAACCATCCCACGAGTGCTGAAACGGACACCGAGAGCCTCTGGCGCACCCTTTGTAGGTCCGTCCGAAAAACTTACATGGCACCTTTGACTTCTCTTCTGACGTCTTGTCCCCCACCTCCGCATCGGACCTCGTAGTAGACTGCGAAGAGGATCTCGTCGGAGTAGGTGGTGGAGGCGGCACCGGCGGATTTGGCTGATTCCCTTTATCCGTCCTCATTGGTTTCACCTTCGCTTCGGGTCGGCTGGTAGTAGGTGAAGAAGGCATTGCCAAAGCTGCTGACGTCACCGCTAAGGCCTCACATTCAGCCAACAAGTGCTTGTAGTAGCTGTCGACGCTCTCTGCTGTTGGTCTTGTATCTACCATCAGCGTGGACTTCACGAGGTTGGAGCGGAACAGAGCTTCAGGATTCCGCTCAAGGAGAACTTTCACCATGGAGTTCAACCCTCGTGTGAGGAGGGCTGGATCAGGTGCCGCCACAGCTAACTCTCTGCATCTCCTTAGCCATCTTTCCCAATTCCGCAAAGCTTCCAACACTCGTTGGGGATCTTGTTCTTGTGGAGGTTCTTGTAAATTTTTCAAGATCCTGACCTTCTCTTCCTCACCTCCAGGCTGATAGAGAGTCATCAACCTGAACAACAGGGACACCGTGCTTCCCGTAAGCCTCCTCGCCACCATCTCGGACTTGACATTGTCAGGGACAGCCGTCATAATCATACTCGCAGCTCTGGAGTTCACTCTGGACCACTTACCACTCTCTAGGGACTCCAGCTTAGGCGGAACAACCTTTAGTCTTTCCAGAGGACTCGAAGATGACCATTCTGTGTAACTCTTTGCGGCTTCCTCCTTCACGCGATACCACCACACAGCACTGCCATCGCTCAAATCCGACATAGGAGCTGCCAACAGTTCCAGCCAATCCATTATGTCAACCGAGGAGGTGTCTGGTTTCACCTGCACCAGCGTAGGGAGTGTTGCTGTTCCGGGCTTAACTGCTTCAGGACTTGCTTCGCCATCTTTGTCCCTTGTCTGCTCCGCCGTCATCTGCTTTAGCATCACAGCCTGTAGCTGCGCCATACCACCCGCCAGCAAAGTCATTGGGTCCGGATTCCCGGTTCCCCCAGCCATTGAGCAGGCCTTCCGGATGTAGTTGATGACGATGGATCACGACCTCGATCTTCTTGTGTTCCATGCGCGCTGTTAGCACTCTCTGGACACGGCATAGGACCCTGGGTTTTGACGTAACTCCCATTTGCTCCATCTATATGGACCCCACCGACGTCATGGCTAGGCAACGTTACTGAAGGACCACTCTGCTGAAAGTGAAGATTCCCTCGGGAACTGCCTGGATTTCCTTGAAGTAGAGAAGGATCACCTGGAGGTACTCTTGGGCCATCGTGCTGAACAACAGGACTCCCTCGAACATTACATGGACCTCCCGGAACCGTTTCAGGATCACTCCGGCGCTCTGGTTGTTCTTCCCGAAGGTGTGGATGTAGCGCATGTCCATGATCCGGAACTCCTTGAGTAGGATTACGGCTTTCTCTCACAGCCTTAGAAGACTCCTGCTGAAAGTGAAGATTCCCTTGGGAACTGCCTGGATTTCCTGGAAGTAGAGAAGGATCACTTGGAGGCATTCTGGGACCATCATGCTGGGGTCGAAGATCACTCGGTAACCCTCCGTCGAAGCCTTGAGAGTGAGGTAGCGCCATAGTCCCAGGCACCTGAATTCTCATCTCTAAGGCATTCTTCTCCTCCCGCAGTCTAGCCACTTCTCCATATAGTGCTTTCATCTCCTCCTTATACTTCGAGGTGTACTCATCTAACTGCTTCTGCACTTCAGCTTGCAATCTAGAGGAATGATCCGACCCAACTTCCGAAGGTTGTCCATAAAGCAAAGGGTGCTCACGCTGGGCCTGTCGCATCTGCGTAAGCTGGGCTCGATCAAAGAGCGGGGCCTCGGTTCTCACCGCTTCTGCTGTCCACGATCTTGGGGGTGCCGCAATATCCATAGTTCTCAGAGGAAGTTGTTCTGGAGGAGAAAACGACATAGAGCTCTCCCTCGGTCTACCCGTGAACACATTGACCGATCCCATATGTACTTGTTGTTGTTGTGCAGGTGGAAATCCCAAACCATCCAGGACTCTATCTACTCCTTGAACACTTCTTGTTGCCGCCGTCCTCATAAACTCAGTGAACCTTCCCATCCATCTCACGTTTCTGTCTTGCTGGGTATTCACCGAGGAGGCTGCTGAATAGAACTCCTGAACATGAACTGTGGTTGGGGATGTAGTAGATCTGCTTTGGGAATCCACTCTCTGCGGTGTCACCATTGTCTCACGCGCCTCATTACTTATAACGTTCGCGCCCGCTTGCGGTTCCCCGTATCGGGGTTCGGCCACGTCCGGTAAAAGCTCTGTAGAGGTCGTTGCGTTCGATTCAGGAGGCCGCTGTAGTGGCGGAGCAGGATCGTGTACATTCGGATTTTCCATTCCACCATTGATGCGACTCAAACCATCATCCTGGGATGGGGCTGCCGGAGTAGTTCCATTCATCATCACAGTTGCAGGTCCCAATGCTCCGTAATTGGATGAGGTAGGAGCCGCCGGAGTGCTTTCGGTAGCTTGGGCACTCATAACCTGAAAACCTTGAAATCTGGTCGAACTTGTAGTCGCGATTCGCTTTAGCACAGCAGGAGTCTAAGCCAGAAAAGGCAGCTCAAACCATGCAGCGAACACAGAGTGACTCTAACTTTTGCGGATCGGAACAAACAACAAATCTGCTTTTGTTCTGTACATTACATTGCCCTTATTGGACTATGCTCTTTGTCATGATGCCATGACCGCTCGCCTCGAGCACTCAATTATGCTTGAGGTAAACATCGCAGTCGGGACGAAGCAGTTCCTCTTTACAAACCACTTAGGTTTCCGACATATCCCAAGAGCTCAACATTCATTGCCGTCGCAGAGGATTTCATACCTTAATATATACCCACTATATAGCCCATTAAAGGCTCCATTAAGGGTCCCTCCTTTTCCCCTTTGATACACGATGGAAACGTTTGTTCGAGGCAGCCTTCCTTTCGCCGGCGGAGCCTCCGGCGGCCAACAGCCGCCGCGCGCTCCTGGCAGCCCCCAACCCAGCAAACATGCTTTGGGATTTACAGTAAACCCCATAAAGTTGGAAAGTCCCTTTTGGGGATTCCTTAATAGGATCCCAAATCTGAGCCACAAAGAGCAACTACTGTAAGGGTTTAAGGGGTTTAGGTATGGATCCGAGCACATACACTCCCCCATTTCGGGATGCGATCTTCAAAAGTTTATGTCTAGGTGCCCATTTAGACTCCAAATTACTTTGGGGTGGGGTGGGCTTGTGGCATTGGGATGTTTAGCTTGAGGGGGTCGGAATCTCCCCCAAATTCGAGAGGAGACAGCCTACAAATCAGATCCTGTGCATCCTGGTGTTACTTGTTTTCTATCATTATTATTATTATTAGTATTTTTATTATTAGCATTATTATTAGTATTGTTATTGCTATTCCGCCGGATTTATTTTGAACTTTGTCGGGCTTCAGCTGGTGGATTTGAAACCTTCTACCCCAATCCCTAAACCCTTCAAGCGCTCTCTCTGCCGTCGCTGTGAGAGGGGCGAGCCTGTTCTTCAGATGCCTCAGAGTGGATGGGGTTTCGGGATTTCAGTGTGTGTTCCACCCTAAACCCTAAACCCTAAACCCTAAATTCAAATTCAGGCATGTTCTGGCATGATATGAAGTTGGTCGAAACGAGGTGAAGATGGTGATGTTCCCCTGACATGTAAGCGAGTGCCAAGCATGCACAGAGCTTTCCAAGCCCACAAAGGCACATAACACAAAGGCCCCAGCAACGAGCCCTAAATCATGAAATCCAAATGATAGAAAACCACAAACCACCCTCTTCCAATCTTTCGCAACTTGAATTCCAAACTCCAAACCTCGTTTAAGATCCTTTATAGTGAGAAGAGGGCTTTACATCACAGCACAGTTGTAATAAGGAGCCCTCGACCCAAAGCCCTAAATTTTGGCTCCTCTCTTCGAACCTTGAGACGCCCTTTAAAGGCGGGTTCCGCTGGCCTGCTGGGTGCCATGAGCGCGCCTGCCGCACTGGCTTTAGGGTTTAGGGTATGGTATGGCTTTAGGGTTTAGGGTATAGTCTGGATTTAGGGTTTAGGGTATAGTCTGGATTTAGGGTTTAGGGTATAGTCTGGATTTAGGGTTTAGGGTTTAGTCTGGCTTTAGGGTTTAGTATAATAGTACTCTTATCATAGTGTCCGATCCCTTATCGGAACCCTTTACAGGATCCCTATTCTACACCTTAGAAGCTTAAGCGGTTACACTTCAGCCGAGGTCGCTCTGTGTTCAAGGCTAGGTTCAAGCAATAAGGTAAAAGCCAGAAAGTTGGAATATGATTCTCCTAAGCCCTTTATGGTAAATTATAAGGTATCCTACCCTGAAACCATATTCCAACTTTCTGGAGTTCCCTATAAGGGGCCTTAGGGTTTAGGGTTTAGGCTTAATTACTACTTAGAATACGGGTTTGGGTTTAGGGTTGTTTGGGGTATATTGCTACTATAGCCATTACAAGGAACCCCAAGATAGCATTGATGATGATTTAGACCACTGTATTCTTGGCTCTCTTCCAACTTTTCTCCGCATGCCTGCATCTAGGTATGTATGTCTCGCAGCCGCTGTCAGTGGCCCAGTAGAACTAGTTCCTGGGTAGTACCCTTTCGCTCTCTTTAGTTAATGTTTCCCTTATTAAACCGAATATATATATATATATATATATATATGTAAATATATATATATATATATATGTATACATATATATATACATATATATATATATATGTATATATTAGGAAAAGGGTACCCTTACTAAGGGATCACTCAGGATCATAGAGAAGGTGAAACGATATTCACGAGCTCCGACACCTTCAAGGCAAGCCGAAGCTCCTGAAGCCCAAGCCTAAACTCGGTTCTTGTTAAGGATAGGGCCCCAAAAAAGCACATAAGCAAAACTTAGGATAGGGATATCCCATATAAACCCCCTTATAATGAAGCCCAATAAGGTAGGGATATCCCCGTATAATGCTCATGCTTATGTGCTTTTGGGGGTCCCTAAAGGAGCTGTCCAGATTAGTAATGTGGGAGTTTCCGAAAATAGGGGACCCTAATAAAGTAGCCAAAATAGTAGGATCGTTTTTGTAAGGTCCCCAAACTGCGCCCCCTCTAATTTTCGGAAACTCTAAACCCTAAACCTTTTACAGAACCCTTATAGATCCCTTTAAGGAACCCTCTAAGGATCCCTTTAAAGGTACCCCTAACTTTCGGAAGCTCCGGTCCCATGTACATAAAAGGAGCAGCAAATATCCATGAGGCCCGAACCTCCACCCTAAAACCCCAAACCCTAACCCGTGGATTTGCAAATTATCCCCGAGGCCCGAAGAGTGCCTCTGCTGCTGACTTCTTCGGCCTCCCGCCCTTGGTCTCGCAAATCAGGGCACCCGAACGGGTTTTAGTTGAGGGTGTAGGACTTTTCATTTTTTTTGTTCTGATAGGGCTTCAAAGGGTTTCTGATAGGGCTTTTGTGGAGTTCTGGTAGGGCCTGTTGTGCAGGGTTCTTGTTTGTGGGATTTTGCTAAGGCTTTTGCGGGGCTCTGATAAGGCTCTCTAGAGTGGTCTGTTTAGTGTTCAAGGGTCTTTTGTATAGGGCTCTGAATGCACCTTGACAGGGTTCTCATCGGGCTACCGCAGGGTTCTTAGGTTCAGGATGTAGGCTGTAGGGTTAAGTTAGACCGTATGAGGAGTTTAGACTTGGTGGTTGGACATTTGGGGGTGTGTCTAAACTCTGTAAGCCCCAATTGAATTAGTGATGGTATGAAACATCTCTACAGCTGTTTATTTAGGGCGACACCCCAAAACCTGGAACACAAAGGCCCAATTTAGCTGGAGTTGAGGGGAAGGGTTCTAGCATGACACCTGACCTCCAGCGGTTCCTTTCAGTGCTCCGAAAGCAATTCGAAATTCCTAAACGGTTCCCATTGCCATAGGGGTTCCCGAAACCTCTCTTTCGGTTACTGTACGACGTATTCCGAAAAGTTTAGGGTTGTTTGGTGGTCCGTTTGGGGTTTGGTGTTTGGGGCTTACCGGGCCAAACACAGTCCCACTTGTCGAAACGTTAGAAATCGAAGAAGCTTTAAACCTCATGCACCAAATCTTTAATCCGCAAGCCTGAGTTATAGCTACCTTACTTATAATCTAGGTAGGGCTTTGGGACATTTTATATTTTCCCTTATTGGGCTTAAGAGGACCTTCTTTACTAATATTTTTCAAAGGCTCTAAAAGGCCCCACCTAGTAATCCGACTTATAACTACCCCTGAACCTCCAAGTAGGGGGGTTTTAGGATTTCGGGATTTAGGGCCTAAACGCCCATCAGCCTGAAGCCGCAAAGCCAAAGGCACATCCCAGGGCCATTCGAGATGGACCCCAAGGAAGCTGTGGTCATAGGTGCGAAGCTTCCCATGCTTGGCTTTGGATTTGCGGTTTGGGGATTTGCGGTTTGGGGAAGTGTTGACTGTAGGGGCTTGGGGTTTAGGCCTTCGGGCTGCGGGCTTGGTCATCACCATCGTCGTCATCGTCATCACCACCACAATCATCATCATCATCGTCATGAGTTTGGGGATGTTGTTTGGGGTTTTGCTTCACGGACCCAGGACCATGAAATGTAACGGTGGAAGGCGAAAAAATCCAGATTCCAATCCCTAAACCCACCAACCCTAAATCCTAAACCCCAAATCCCAAACACTTGCAGCACTTTTGTAACAAGCCAAATCCTTACATCCTAAGCCCGGTTGCCTTCTTAACTCACCGAGTTCCACTTCCTGCGCAAACTCGCCAAAACAGGTGACGCCGCGGACCCGCAAGTGAAGGAGGCGAAGGCCAAGGTAAGGATGCCTACGAGGATTGTTATCAAGGTTGCTATAAGGGTGTAGGATGGGTTTAGGAATCGGGGTGTAGGGTTTAGAGATTATAGGGCTTAGGGTTTAGAGTATGGTTGCTAGAGGGATACTTTTGTGAGCTATTGTTGTTACTATCGGGGTGCGACAATGTGGTTGTTATAAGGGTACGATCATCTGGTTACCATAAGGCCATAAGGGTTGGTATCAGGGTCCGGGTACTGTAGCATGGTCGCTACAAGGGTGCTAATTAGAAGGATACCAGCGTCGGAGGTTTGCCTGCAGGAATTGGTGGCCCAATCAAGACGTAGCAAGGCAAAAGCCACAGCAGACTTGCAGGATTTGGGCCTGGGTTTAGGGTTTAGGGTTTAGGGTTTAGGGTTGGCAGGAGGGGGATTTTGGCGGATGCTCTGGGGTTGCTTTCCGTCATCGGACTGTTCAGAGAGCTTCTGGGGTCCTGGTAGACACGGAGGAGCAAGAGAGTCGGGTTAGATTGCGATTGGCCTCCTCCGAACCTGATGACATGAAAACCCAACCCCATGACCTACTGTAAACGTGAAGATTCCGCCGCTTGCAGGTTCGGCCACTGAAAGCTCTCCTCGACCGCTGTGGCACGAAGGCACAAGAGTTTTTTAGGTTTTGTGCGTGGAAAAGGCTGCGCCTCTTGCTTTAGATCCGTGTTGCCAGTGACAGCGGATCTCTTGAGCTGTCACTGGTAGCGGAGCCTGCGCGCTCTCATGGCCTCTGATGGTCCTGCCGACCCGTGGTCGGCACCTGACGGCGACCCTTGGAACACCAGTGCGTGGACCGGTGGAGGGGCTCACAGCGTGCGCCCTGGTGATGTGAATGAGCCCAATGCAGAAGCGAGTGTGCAAGAGCAGACCGAAGCTGGACCTCAGTCTAGTGGGAACCAAGAGCCCGGGGGTGGCGCCGACGCGCCTGCAGTGGACTCTTGGCGTGGGTCAGACTGGGCCCAGCGACGTGGTGACAATAGCAGCGATGGGAGTTCTGGTGATGCGACTACTACGGCCGATCGCCGGGGCTCCGACGGATCTTGGAGGTCTTGGACTACGTGGCAGTCCTGGCCCCAGCAGTGGCACGGAGGATGGTGGGGAGACCAATGGGGCAACGACCGTGGCGGATGGTATCGTCACCAGTGGGGCGACGGCGGCCCTACTTCGTGGCCTACCAGTACCCCCGGGACCGCCCCAACGAGCTTCGCGACTGATCCGTCTTCTACGACATGGAACTCTGGTGGCCCCGGGACTACAAGTACCCCCGGGACCCCCCCTACGGCAACTGCGCCTCTTCCTTCTTCTACCCGTTCCGGGAGTTTGTCTACGGCGACTGAGAGAGCTGCGGGAGAACTCGCAGTGCAGAGCGGCATGAAGGGCCCTAGCGAGAAGCTGCTGATTCCCTCTTTCAGCGGGGACTGCGAGGGTGGCAACGAACTGGGGACGTCGGCTCGGAGCTACCTTCGGCAAATAGCCGCGTGGGAGAAGATGACGAAGCTTTCCGCGGGGCAGAGAGCTTTGGTTCTGTACCAGAACTTGCAAGGCTCAGCATGGGTGAATGCGGAGTCCTTGTGTGTGGAGGACTTGGCGAGCGACTCTGGCGTGACTTATCTCAAAGATTGGATTCGGCAACACTACTTGGATGTCGAGGTGACTCAGGTGGGTCGCTCATTGAGCGACCTCTTCCGAAAGTTGCGTCGGAAGCCGACGCAAACTTTCCGCGACTACACGGCGGAGTTCAACCGCCTGCTGGCCAGAGTCACAGAATGTGGCTGCACCCTCCCAGATGTGGCGAATGCTTGGCTCTTCGTGGATCGGGCCAACCTCGACGAGACCACTGAGGTATCTCTTCTCGCCTCAGTGGGAAACAAGTACGCCCTTCGAGAACTACAGCAAGCTGCAATAGTGCTCGACAGGTCTATCCGCAAACCATGGGAGAAGGGGACTCGTGGAGATGCTCCAGGTGCCCGGCGCTTTAATTCCGTGAACCTCGCTGCCGACGGCGCCTTCGATGAGGACGACGAGGGCGAGGAGGACGCGATGCTCGAGGACCAGGTCGGGCAGGACACCGGCGAGCTCTACATCTCCTACATGACGGCTAAGGCTAAGTACAGAGATGCTGCAAGGTCAAGGGGAGTCATCGACAGTGGCTCCAAAGGCGGTGGAAAGAAGTTCGACACCCAAGCCGTGAAGAAGGCCGCCGAAGCTAAGATCCTCCTGGCTAAGTCCAAAAGCCATTGTGCTTCCTGTGGGAAGAAAGGGCACTGGCACCGCGACCCCGAGTGCCCCAACTACGAGGCCAACACCGCCGCCGCGAACAAGGCCCAGACCGTGCACGTGACCAACGAGATCTACGAGCTCACCGCATGCGGGGACAGCAGCGACTTGTACGCCATTCTGGACTCAGCATGCTCAAAGACCGTTGTGGGCACCGGATGGCTTGAGCGGTACCTTAGCAGCATCAAGGAAAAAGGGTTCAAGTGCGAGTTTGTGTATGAGCGCGAGTGCTTCAAGTTCGGAGCGGCGAACCGCATCTACGAGTCGACCTATGCGGCGGTGATCATGATGAATGTGCTGGGGAAGTGGCTTGGTGTGAAAGCCGCCGTGATACATGGAGACCTACCACTTCTGATGTCGCGACCAGCTCTCGGGCACCTCGGCCTGGTGCTCGACCTTGGGCTTGGCAAGGCCCACTTCCGGAAGCTCGGCGAAGGCGAGCTCACTTTACTCGAAACCTCGAGTGGGCACCCGGCCATCTGCATCGACTACGGCGATCCTGACAAGCCTGATGTTTCGCAACTTCCCAAAAGCTGGGAGCCGCACGGTGTCGCAGTGCTCAGTCCGCGTGTGGTATACATGACTGCATGTGCCAGGGATGATGGGGTAGGTCAGTCTTCCAGTTCATCGTCCACTTCCGTGCAACCTAACCCCAAGATCTTTTACGACAAAAAGATAGACCCTGCCGTCCGTGACATGCTCGTTGCCGATGTCCTGAATGACACAGTCTTTCTTGCGTGGTGGGCTAAGACAGATGTCAACGACTTTTGGATAGAAACCCCCGACAAGCTAGTGAGGATCCACACCACCCCGAGGAAGTACTTCTTTGATCCCCGCTCGTGGAGAACCCCGCATACTCTTCAACGAGAGCAATTGTTGGCGCAGCTTGGGAGTGTACGAGAGACTTGCGGGATCAGTTGCATGTCACAGAGAGTTCTGAGCAATGTCACTGAAGTGTGGACCGCTAAGCCCGAGCAGTGTGCTGACGGATATCCAGTGCTGTGGGTCGGCCGCAGCATCTTCAACAGGCAAGCACCTCCACCTGACCCTTTCGCTGCGCGGCATGGACAGTGGCGCCCCTCCGATCGCGGTATGGAAGATGACAAAGGTGCAGCTGCTGGCCGAAGCCAACCGCCGAGGTCTAGCTGTGAACTCGAAGTGGACGTGCCCGGAACTCCGGGCGGTCCTCACCGCCGACTCGGACTACCACCGCGGTCCGTCGGAAGTCCCCAAGGGCCTCAGCGCGATGACGATCGCGGAGCTTCGCGAGGAGGCAGACAAGCTGAAGATCCCCCTCGGCACGAAGGAGACCAAGGGAAGCCTCATGCTGAAGATCAGGGACACGACGGCCCCCGACTCGACGGTGATGACGATAGGAAGGTTTCGCGGCAGCAGCTACATGGACATCCCCGAGAACTACGGAGCGTGGGCCTCGGAGGAAGAGCGGAAGAACGGGAGCAACATGTCACCCGACCTGAAGCGGTTCGTCACTTGGCGCCGGCACCGGCGAGCCCAGGGGTCCAGGGCTTCTATGCCGAGCCGCGGCTACAAGGACCCAGAGATGGACGCGATGGTGCCACCGCCCCCTCTGAGCGAGACCGGGTCTTCGGTGTGGGGCGTGGTCGAAGATCCGAGCGGGTCACTGACGAACTGGCGACCGATCCCGCCCTCGAGCTCAACAAGGGGAATGCACGACTGGCGACCGGAGGCCCCGTCGAACTCCGTGACACCGTTCACCAAGGCGAAGGCGACCCGACGCGAAAGGTCGCCGGAGGAGAAGATCCGCATGGAGCAAGAGGTGGACCCCGAGACGATGAAAGAGATCCAGGCTCTGGAAGCGAAGCTGGCGGCCCTCAAAGACCGCTGTGGAGTTCACGGGCCGAAGTGAGCCAAGGAGGCTCCCCCGGCTCCCTTCGGGAGCCACATGACACTCACGGGAAGCACGACGATGCCTCCTTCCGCTCTTGTTCATCTGGTTCGGACGACGGAGTTGAGGAGGCGTTCCTTTCTCGGCGGGTCCTTGCCAAGCTTGGTGAGGACATCACCGGGGCACGACACCACAACGAACACCCTGGAGAACTGGCTGCCGCTCGGGCCCTTCGCGCTTCGACGAGGACGGCAACGAGTTGATGCGTGTGTTCTACGATGCGGAGTTTCCCCGCATCAACGAGGTCCTCGCCGGGGAAGTCGCCGATGACCAAGAGATCGGCGAGGGTGAACCCGATGGAGTACCGGGCGACGCCGAGCGAGACCTCGAGGGAGGAGGAGAGCGAGGGGCCAAAGCCATCACCTTCCCTTCTTCTGTCCCGGGCAAGATTGCAAGCAGCCTCCGCCGCCTCCACCAGAACTTGGGTCACCCTAGCACCATCGACTTCTGCCGCCATTTGCGTCTTGCAGGTGCCACCCGTGAAGTGTTAAAGGCCGCCAAGAGCTTGGACTGCGAAGTGTGTCGCAGAGCAAAGGCCCCTGCTATCGCCAAGCCCGCCAAGGTGGCTCCATGCCTGAGGTTTAACCAGATGATCGGCGCCGACATCTTCTACGTTCACGACTCTGCCGGAGACCGCCACCAGCTCTTGTCCCTGGTAGACTTCTCTTCGTCCTACCACGTCGTGGTGAAGATTGCCCGAAAGGATACGGCCACCTTAGAGAAGGCGTACTGTGAGCATTGGCTGAACGTGTTTGGGGCGCCGGATGTGATCGCCGTGGATTTGGAGAACGGCCTCGAGAAGGCTCTAGCCCGAGTTGGAGATTGGACCGGCACGCGGCTGCGCAATGCCGCGGGACAGGCCCACTACCAGGCCGGATACACGGAGCGGCAAGGTGGCATATGGAAAGCGATCTTTGCCAAACTTTGCGACGAGCTCTCCGTCAGCAAGCCTGACATCGAAGTGGCCATTGGAGCCGTTTCCAACGCGAAGAACAAACTCGCTAAGGCCAGTGGATATAGCCCTGCTCAACACGTGTTCGGCTACACTGCGAACGACCCCGACGACCTCCTTAACGGGCCCCATGCAGGAGATCCCGGAGATGATCCCATCATCGACGACCGCCACGCCCGCGAAGTGTCCATTCGACACTCCGCAAGGGCCGCCTACTACCACGTCCAGTCCGATGAACGAGTACGTAGAGCCCTGGCAGGACGAAGCAGGGTGACTGCGAGGCCACCGGAATGTGGAGAGCGAGTCTTCTACTACCGCAAGACCAAGAACAACAAGCGTGGAGTGTGGATGGGGCCTGGCACCGTGATCGGGTACGAAGGGGTGAACGCATGGGTCACCCGTGGTGGGCGCTGCATCTTGTGTTCACCAGAACACATCAGACTTGCGACCCCCGAGGAGCTTGGCCAAGCCTTTAGCCTGCGAGCCGCCCGTGACGACTTGGACCGCCTTCTCAACCTCGACGAAGAGGAGCAGGCTTTCGAAGAGGAGGTGGAAGGCGGAGTTGGCTATATCGACCCAGGCGACGAGGAGATGGAGGAGCCCGACCTTCAGATGGCCGAAGTGGAGCACGGCGAGCCCGATCCTCCTCTACAAGGGGTGCGACGCGGAGCGGACCTTCCAGGCCCAGTGGTGCTCAAGCGACAGCGACGAAAGGGGAGGCAAAGTGATGCACATGGCGTCCTGATGATGAAGCGGGCTCGCACAAAGCGGTCCCGAGAAAAGGCCCTCGAGAAGGAAATCCCCTGGCAGCTCATCCCGGAGGAAGTGCGCCCCAGGTTCCGCGCTGCCGAAGGAGTTCAGTGGGCCGAACATGTCGACAACCAGGCGATCGAGGTACTGAGTGTTGCCGAAAGTGAGCGAGTGAGGGCGACTGTACCAGCCGACCGCATACTGAGCTCAAGGTTTGCCTATAAAGACAAGCACATGGGCCTTCGACGAGTGGACCCCACGGCTGATTGGAAGCCAAAGTCACGCTTAGTAATAGCTGGACACTTAGACCCAGACGCGGGCGACAGCAACATCCACACGGACTCCCCGACTGTCGCCAGGTCCTCGTTGTTGACCGTGTTGCAGATCTGCGCCACCAACGGATGGACCGCGGCAGCCGGAGACGTGCAAGCAGCTTTTCTTCAGGGCGTGGAGCTCAAGAGAGAGTTGTGGATCTCCCAACCCCGACATGGCATAGAAGGACTGGATCCGCGCCAAATCGCGCGGGTTTGCAAAGGAATCTTCGGGCTGTCAGAGAGCCCAAGGATGTGGTTCGACCGCCTGTTCGGGGTACTGACCAGCGAGGTGCTCAACTACGAGGGGAAGGAGTATCGCCTCGAGCCCAGCCCGCTTGATGCGTGCGTGCTCATGATGAAGGAGGTCGGAAAGGACACCGAGCCCATCGCCCTGCTCACCATCCACGTTGACGACATCCTCATCGGGGCTCCGACGGCCGTCAATAGGTTCCTCCAAAAGGAGATCAGTCGACTCTTTCCGGTCGACGACTGGATCGAGGGAGCCTTCGAGTACACGGGATCCTTCATCAACGTTGACGACGAGGGCATCACCGTGAATCAGGCGAGCTTCGTCGATGGAAGGCTCTTCACCGTGGAAGTGCCCAGGAACCAGGACGGGAAGTCGCCTGCCGATGAAGAGCAGACGATTGACAATAGGTCTTTGTTGGGGGCACTTAGCTGGCTGAGCAGCCAGAGTCGCCCGGACTTGGCGTGTGGAGTGGCGATGTCCCAGCAGCTCCAGCGCGCCCCTTCCACAGAGGACGTGCGCTTCGTGAACCGCCTCACCGCCAAGGCGAAGGAGCACCGTGAGCACGGAGTGTATCTACGGAAAGTGGACGCCAACGATGCGGTGTTCATTGCCTACCACGACGCTGGATGGGCCAACGCCGACCTCGAGGAGGACGAAAGTGACTTCCGCCTGACCCCGCAAGAGGTCTCCGACGGCACGATTCGGGAGTTCTACGACGAGGATAGACCCAGGCGCCCAAAGCGACCCGGGTCCAAAGTGGCGTCCCAGATAGGACACCTTATCATGCTGTTTCCCTACAAGGTTCTCCACGGCGAGCACGCCCGCGGAAGCACCCTGGAGTGGCGAAGTCAAAGCTGCAAGCGAGTGTGCAGGTCGACCTTCGGGGCCGAGACTATGGCTGCAGCTGAGGGGTTAGAAGGTGCTCAGTACATGAGAGCACTTTTCGGCACGCTGCTCACTGGGCGCCTGATGGGACACGCTGAAGCTCGACGACGGTGGCCCATCGTCTGCTTATCTGACTGCAAGTCCCTGTTTGATTTTCTGCATAAGGCAGGGGTGCCAAAGGTACCCACCGACCGTCGGTTAGCCATAGATTTGGCAGCTCTAAGACAAGAGCTGCGACTCGAGAAGTGGGGAGATCGCTTGCCCTTCCAATGGATACCCACTACGATCCAACTTGCAGACCCACTCACCAAGCCCAAACGGGTAGAAGGGTGGTGGGAGGCCTTAGCGAACGGGGTACAGTTACCGTTCAAGAAGGACCTTTTTCGAAGGGGCGAGGAGAGTTTTAACCAGTGTAAACGTGAAGATTCCGCCGCTTGCAGGTTCGGCCACTGAAAGCTCTCCTCGACCGCTGTGGCACGAAGGCACAAGAGTTTTTTAGGTTTTGTGCGTGGAAAAGGCTGCGCCTCTTGCTTTAGATCCGTGTTGCCAGTGACAGCGGATCTCTTGAGCTGTCACCTACACCTCTGGGTACCCCAGTCGTGTGAGTCTCCCCAGTTTAAGCTGAATGACAGGAAAGACAGAACCCTACGTCAAACTCCAAGTGAAGACCCGAACTCCACTAAACCCTATACCCCGAACCAGTACCACCACCCGAAAACACCCGAACTCCAAACCCCACCCGACACAGCGTAAACATAAAAAGCTCTAAACCTTAAACCCGTAACCCTAAACCTGACGCCCTTACCAAAACAGAGCTCGAGGGCGTAAGCTTTGAAAGCGCTTCAGGTCCTTGAGCTCCAGACTCAGGCAGAGCAGGCGCTGGACATGATCCAGAAGGACCCCCAGGCCGTCCTTGAGAAGGGTCCCACTAAGGATTCTTTAGGGGTTCCTGTAAGGGTTCCTTACAGGCTTCTCTCAAGGGCCCCTCAAAGGAGTTTCGTGTTCATGCAAGAATGTACGCTAAGGAATACGTTCCGCGCTAAGTCAGGCTTCTGTCTTTAAGGGTTTACTGCTGAGGGTATGGATAACGGCTCGAATCGGCCCTCAAGGCACCTTTCGTTTTGAGGCGTTCGGAATTGAAGCGTTTGGGTTGAAACGGGTACGGAAATCTGAATAAAGGGACGTGAACACTGAGCAATAGAGTTCGCAAGATAGGTATACTAGACTGAAGACCCCTATGTTGATTTCTTTTGGACCTAGAACCCCTTCAACCTTAACACCTGCACCTAGCAAGCCAAAAAACAGCCCCTTCAACCTATGCACCCACGCCGCAACCCCACCTAGCAAGTCAAACAAGGTCTAGCAACTATGCAACCAGGAGTTAGTTTACACGCACTACTGCTGAGAGACAGGGTTCTGCATTAGCCATGGCCACAGTTTAGGATGCTCAACATTATGAGGCGTTTCCGCCGCTACAAACCCAAGGCCCTAAGCCCTGCTGTCCTAAATCCAAAAAGCCTGAACCCCAAAAGCCAAAATAAATCCAAAAAAATTGAACCCCAAAAGCCCAAACCCCCTAAACCTGACTCCTGAAACGCCACAACGCCAAACCCGGGAGCCCAAGCCCGAAACCCAATCGCTAAACTCGGGCAGTTGTCAAAATTAGGGTCCCTTATTGGGTACCTTAAATAATAGGTGCCGTATTATAGTAGGGGCCCAAAAAGGGACCATAATTTTGACAACTACCCATATCTGAAAATAAAACCTTAAGAACCTGAACCCTGACCTTGGACCCAACACCACCCCAAAACCCTTAAACCCGAGAGAACCCGAATGGGCGTCCTTTCAAGTCCCGCCACCTTGTGAGCCCAAGAAGCTTGAGAAAAACCCATAAACCCTTTCAGGAACACCAACAAAATCCTACAAAACTCCACATACGAACCCTTGAAGGGATGCCCCCCTTCAAACAAAAAGCAAAAAGCATTTCATAAGCACCTACTACAAAACTGCAAGAAAACTCCCCAAACCCTTACCCCATAGAACTCGGACCGCTTGGAATATGCGTTAAATCATATTGGGGATCCTACCATAATTTACGGTATGTTCCCTAAGTAACGGATTTTGGAGACTCTGGGTGAAACTAGCAGGCCTACACACTAAACCCTGTAAACCGAGCAGCGTGAGGCCGATCTGAGCTTCATGGTCAAGGAATTCGGGATCGGCGACCTGCGCGATGCCTTGGGCTTGAGGGTTTGGGGGTGTCCAGGTTTAAGGCTGTACGGTTTAGTATTCAGAGTTTAGATTAGGGTACAGCAGCTGTTAGGTTTCAGGCGGGTGGCTGGGTGGGGTGCTAGTGCTTTTGGAATCTTCTGGGCTCTATGGTTGAGAGGGTTTTGGTGTTGAAGGGGGGTCGAGGGTTTTGTAGAGGATTTCAGGGAGGCTTTATTATCGGGGCTTTCATAATTACCAACACTTTCTGGGGGCTCCTTCTTCTAACTCTAGTATACTGGCCCCAAAACCCTGTTCTAATTATTAAGGCCTCCATATTGTGCTTCGGTTGATGATATAAATCCTGCATTGCCTTAAGGACCGTAAACTGTGGGAAGTATGGTATATTCCTTATTATGGGTAATGCGGGATTTATATCATCAACCGTTGCAATGCTTTGCAGATTGCGGGCCTCCTGGGAGAGGCCGGCTCTGCCAACACCTCATACGATTCCAAGAAGTACAGTAAACCCCGTAAAGTTGGAAACCGGATGAGGGTCCGTTTTTGGGTACCGTAGAAAGTAGGTGCCGTACGATCATAGGGACCCAAAAAGGGACCCTAATATTGACAACCACCCATTTAGGTAGGTTTAGGAGTTGACGGGTTTTGGGTGTGAGGCTTTAGGAGTCTTCGGTTTGAAGCGGTTTAGGGTTTAAGGGTTTAGGGGCTTCGGGTTAAGGGTTTACGCTGTAAAGAGACCCAGGCCACCAACGTTATCAACGACATCATGGACGACAAGACTGCCGCCGCCACGCAGCGATGGCAGCGCCTCATGATCCAGGCGAGTGATGTCAATATTCTCGGACTTCAGATTATTGCCCCAAGCTTGTTCGCGATATTGTGGTTACAACATATTCCTGTGTTTTTGGCTCAAAACCGTGGGGTCTGCAGCCGGTCCGAGGACTCCTAGTATGATCCGAAATATGAGTCTGGCTTGTAGTTAGAATATCCCCTTTCGGTGCTTACACTTCTATACCGCAGGTTTTGAGCCGTAGTGTGAAGGTTGATGCCCCGGGGTTATGTTTGAAGAGCTATCTCTCAGTTCTGGGGCCACGTGTTGCAGACTCAAACCCAAGGAAGCTGATGAATTTGGAGGTTGAGTTTAAAGGGAACTCCAGAAAGTTGGAATATGGATTAATGGTAGGATCCCCTATAATTTACCTTAAAGGGGTTACGATAATGATATTCCAACTTTCTGGCTTCTGCTGTATGGGGGTTAGGGTCAATGTGGAGGTTGGGTTTATTTGTGGTTTAATGTGCGGGCTGATGATGAAGGCCCGCAGAAGGGCCACGGCACGGATTCTGTCGATGCTTCCGCTCTTTATATCGTTCTTCCGGAGGCCAGAATGTGCCCTCTGTGCAATTGTAGATATGTAGCTTGGCGAGACTCAGGGTAGGTTTTCTTCGCCTCGACACTTCGTCATCTCCCTCATGATCCGATGGCCGTTCATGAGATTGAGGAGTAGTCTCGACCGTAGCATCCTCCTGTTGCCAGCACGGGTGTGAGCCTGATGGCGGCTGCAACCACCGCAGAGTACACTGTTCGCCTCGCCAGCACCGCTGAAGAAGTGGCACACTGCCAGTCTCTGAGACGTGAGGTGTTTGTCCAGGAGCAGAAGATTCCTGCGGAGGTAGAGGATGATGGACAAGATCCAGATGCCCTGCACATCATGTACACTGAGGACAGCCAGCTGATTGCCACTGGGCGGGTCCTGATCACCCGCCACGAGAGTCAGAGTGCGGCGAGGGCGGTCTTCTCTCGGGTCGCCGTCAAAGCAGACTACAGAGGTAAGGGCTTGGGGAGTCGGATTGTGCAGGAGCTCGAGACACTCGCGGGATCCAAAGGAGCCAACCACGCGAGCTTAACGCCTCACCACTACCTGGAGCGGTTCTATTCGCGCATGGGATATCAACGGCCTTCCGATGATGCCATCATCCACCTCACTGACGAGTGCCAGCTCATAACCATGGAGAAAAGCCTAGATGTGGCATAAAAGCCACATCTCGTTATAGCTTGTCAGATTCTTAGCATATGCCGGGGCACCGATGGAGTCTCGCAGCGGTACCAGTACAGAAAGCTCCCTGGCTCCTTTCATGTTTTTCTGTCTTATGGGGAGTTTCCGAAAATTAGGGAGACCTTAATTGGGGTCCTTACAATAAGGATCCTACTATTTGGGGTACTATATTTGAATCCCCCATTTTCGGAAGCTCTCTTATGAAGCATGTCCAAGCTTCGCTGACTGTGTGCCACACGAAGGGCGCACGGCGACTGGGCAAGAGACTGCTCCGGGCGGATAATTCCTCGAAAACTCAATTCTCAAGCGTACTTAGAGGATCATGGGACTTAGTAACTACCTGTAGCCCAAAAGACCTATTGTTTTAGGGAACTCTATATAGAAACCATAATAAGGAACCCACCAAAAGGTAGGTCCTTTCGGCTACAGGTAGGGTTATAAACAAGGTAACTACAGTTAAGGTACTTATAACTTTACTTGCTAAGTCCCATGATCCTCCAAATAGACCTCAACTGTCACCTACTCTGTCAGCTCTCTACATCTGGCACACGCAGGCCAAGTACCAGTGGGAGGACGACATCCCTTTCCCGGTGACCAAGCGACGTCCTCAGCATGGCTTTCGGGGCTTCGGGATTGGAGCAGGGAAGGTTCGGATTTCAGGGAGGAGTGAGGAGCAGCGGCCGTGAAGGTTGAAAGAATTCGGATGCAAAGTTACGCCAAAGGAAGGAAGGATCCAGGAGTTAATCCGTTCCCATTTTATGAAAAAACCCGTAATGCGAAGAACATTTTGGTGCCAATCCTCACGAAATCATCCCTGCCCTTTAATCCAGTTTGCATTCGGGGGGTGCGGAGCAAGAGCAGGAGGAGGAGCAACAGCAGGAGCAAAGCGAAAACAGGAACAAAAGCAGCAGCAGCAAGCGCTGGAGCCAGAACAAGAGCAGGAGCAGCATTAAAAGCAAGAGCAAAAGCAGGATCAAGAGACGCAGCAGGAGCAGAGGAGGGTGGGAGCAAGAGCCAGGCCGGCAGCAAGAGCAAGATCCCTCACAGAACAGTAGGGCTAAAAGGACCCCTTTCCTTACTAAAACGTGCTTTGCGAGTTGTTTATCGTGCGGGCGATCCTCGCGTTTAATATTAGGGGGAAGGGGGAACAGATCAAGTGGGTGAAGACAGCCTTCAGCTCTTTGCACCGCAGCCTCGGTCCAGTGTAGCAGTACCTTGCACTCCGAAGGCGCGGTGTGCAGAAGCCCCGCGGAGACAAGCGCAACGAGCGTATCATCTCGTCCCTGCGACTCGGACGCAGGTGTTTCGGTTTGTGGCCTCCTCTGAGGTTCAGGGGGGCCCTAAACCCCCACACCCTGAACCCCTAAACCCTAAATCCTAAACCTCTAAATCCTAAACCCGAATTCATGTTGCGCGACTGTGTCTTTGGTGATGTGGACTTGATTGCCTGTTAGCCTGGTTTGGGGCGTTGGCGGTAGAGGCACGTCTACTTCATGCATGCTCACTGTCTGTGCTGAAGCACTGTGGCTGTTTTCTAGATCTTCACAGCGTAGTTGAACTTGTCAGGATCCTACATGTCGTAGTCAAGGCAGCCGTTTGGTTTCACATTCCATGGCTCTTGAAGAAGTCGGGGGTGGCATGAGGCAGGTCTCCGGGGCGTTCATAAGTTTGCACTTCGGGTGTCTCGGAGTTGTGGATTTTGGATATCAGTTTTGTGAGTTTAGGGTTTAGGGACTTCGGGTTTCCCAGAGTGGAGACAAAGTAAACGACTCTCACCAAAAAGCTTGGCGCAAGCGGCGCAAGCTCAAGACGTCCATGCCGTACTCGACCCCTTAAATCCTGCATAAGCTTGCGAAAATATCAAGAGCCAACCCACCAAACCTCCTGTGCCCACCCCAACACCCATAACTTACCTTTGGTTAGTAGGGAATGGACGAATGGTAGTAATAATAGTTATAATTGTACCCCATTCCTCCGTTCCCTTCTAACCAAAGGTAAGATAAGCGGGTGTTGGGGTTGGGCGGGGACGCAGCAGCCAATGCTTCAGCCTGCAGGGTTTTTGGGGACGAGAACAAATCCTGAACCCTCAACTGCTCTCAACCCTGGATCCTAGGGTTAGGGAAACTCTCGACCTAAACCCTAAACCCTCAAATGTCAGAAGCCAAGGAAGAACTACATCAGCGGCTCCAAGGACTCTTGTTGGTGGGAGGTGTAGCTTAGGCTTAGACTTTGCAGTTCGATGTTTGAAGGTTTGGGGTTTATCGGGTTTAAACCTAGGTGTTACTCTTTGAAGGTTTAAGAATACAGTTTAGGATTTAAATACGGGCCCACAGCATACCTTTCTGTTAAATCCAGGGTTCGGTCTTTGAAGGTTTCAGGTTTAAGGTGTAGGTTCGACTGAAAGCTTGGAGTGCACACCTCAAGAAACGAAGCCATCGAAGACCAATAATGTAGAGGTTGGAATCATTAGGAATAGCATCCCCGCATAGTCCCCGGATAACTTATACTAAAAGTTTCAAGACATACCCGAAAACTCTTTAAGAATTACCTAGATTCTTCCTGAGAGTTCCTTATTATACCTGTACTATAAAGGAGCCCAAAACCCTATTCCACTTCTTCCGGCTCCTATATGTCCAAGGCTCAAGAGTTGGCGACCCGGGGGCCTGTGTTTACCCAAAGTTAAGCATTCAAAGTGATTCGCAAAACGGGTTCCCTTTTGATGGTACTGTAGGGTTCCATAATAGGGCTCTCTTTAAGGGTTTAGGGTTTAGGATCTACTTAAAGGCTCATGGGACAAAGTAAGTAAGGTTATAAGAACATGGGTCAGAATTAGGATAACCCCACTTAGGGGACTTATAACCCCCATCATAGCCTACTTACTAGGTCCCATGATCCCTTAAACCCTAAACCCTTAAAGGGAGCCCTATCACAGAAACCCTAAAGTACCTTTAAAATTAAGAGGGAACCCTAAACCTTACTAAGTCCAGTGGATCCTACACCAATATAAAGGGAGCCCTATTATAGAACCCTACAGCACCCTTGAAAGGGAACCTTAAACCTGACTAAGTCCCATGAGCCTGTAAGTAGATCCCAAACCCTAAACCCTTAAAGGGAACCCTAAACCTCACTGAGTCCCATGATCCTCTAAGTGGAGGAGCTCCTCCAGTTCTTCTGAGATGGCAGTTCCCGGAAATCTGAGGCTTCAAGCGGCGGGAAACCCTTGAGGGTTTAGGGTTTAGGGTTTTGGGGTTTAGGGATTTAGGGTTTAGGGTTTAGGGGAACCCTTAACAGTAACCCTTAAAGGAAACGCGCAAGCTGCTGGAAACTTGATCCTGCTATTCTTGAGCTGGTAGTGGGATGCCCTCGGATTCTCTACTTAGTAGCTGAGTGGATACACTTTACACGTTTTTGGATAAAATACTATTCACTATAAAACCAAAAGTGGGGAAGAGTTCCTTTGAGGGTTCCTTTAAAGGGTTCCTTTAAGGGTTCTATACAAGGTATCACAAGGGTTTAGGGCTTAAGGCGCTTATGAACCCAGCAGCTAAGTCTACACTTCGAGACAGGCCATCAACCTCAGGTCCCCGACTCAGAATCCCAAACCCTAAGCCCGGAAGCTCGGATCCCACCTAAGGGGGTTTAGGGTTTGGGGTTTAGGGGTTTAGGGTTTTAGGGTTTAGGGTTTAGGGTTTAGGGTTTAGGGGTATAGGGTTTAGGGGTTTAGGGTTTAGGGGTCTCTTGAAGATGGTCTCCATTGTAGTGCTTTGTTTTTGGGTTTCATCAGTTTTGCACTTAGGATCCTACAAAGGTAACCTCAAAAGTAACTACAATAGAGACTATAGTGACTAGATGTAGGTCTTACAGATCTCACTCACGCTTTACCGACATCGTAACAGCCACTCAGCACCTTATTCAACAGACTCTAGAGTTTGTGGGTTTCGATAAGTCTCCTTTCGGGGTGCCGGGAGTGCAGAGTTCATTTCGGGACGGGCAAGATCATAAGCCATGAGAAACCTCGCTAAAGCCGATCGCCCCGAACCAAAACTATAATGTACTACAGTATAATGTGCTGTAAAGAGTGTCATTCCCAGATCCCCACTAAATAGGAGTTAGACAAGTTACAGCAGGACCCCGAAAACTTGGACCTCTGAAACAGCACCCGCTTGAGCTAGCCGCTAGCCCCAAATCTTTACACCCTCATAAACTTCAAAACAAACCATGAAGAAGGGTTCCAAAACAAGAACCCCAAATAAAGCCAGGCAACTTCCCGGTGTGCTTCGATTTTGGGTTCCGGTTTGGGGTTTAGGGTTTGGGATTTAGGGTGTGGTCATCGTTTCGGTTTGGGGATTTAGGGGCTTTGAGGTTTTAAATCTCAGGGTTTTGAGGTCTAGGGCTAGGGTTTGGTATAGGGCTCGGTTTTAGGTGGAGGCTGGGGCTTAGTACAGGGTTCACAGAGAGGAAAACCAAGATGCGGGGCTGGCGCGGCACAATGTCACATAGTATGATATGGCATATGTTAAAGGGGTATAGCATCTTATAGTATGAGTAGTTACTATCACATAAGACAACATGCACAGTTTTCTGCCACTTCGGTAGTTTTCTCGGCAACGGCTCTCGAACCCGAACGTGTCGGAGTAGCTTCGAAAGATCTTAAACTGTGAACTCGGGTTCGAAATGCCTTTCTCTGCGAAGTAGCGAGCTGCCCATCATGTTTCGCCTCCGTGTGTATAGAGCAGACACACCACAATCCTGAGCCCTCATAGCGGTTCAAGGTCTAGGGTTTCTAAGCTCACAAGAGTACTTCCCCTGCGCAGAGTAGCAAAAGGCAGCCGCACCAAAGCAGCCGAACACAAAGGAAAGTTTTCGACCCAGTTCGCCTTTGGCTCGAGGCTAAAAGAGTCACGAGGTTTGAGCTCAGGTAGAGACTTAAGGCTGTACTTGTAGCCGAAAAGACCTACGGGAACTGTATATAGAAACCA